AGAGAGAGAGAGAGAGAGAGAGAGAGAGAGAGAGAGAGAGAGAGAGAGAGAGAGAGAGAGAGAGAGAGAGAGAGAGAGAGAGAGAGAGATGGCCGCGTGGGGGATGGGCAATCGAGAAAGGAGGTTTGAATTGCATGCAGTGTTCTTGCTGCTAATGACAGGGTGGGTTGACGGGTGATTTGACGGCGGTTGTTGTCTCCCTTCGGAAGGACGTCGCGCTCTATCGGAGACTCGGGAGAACAGGGAGACTCGGGATCTGTTCTCCGTCCGCTGAGTACCCTTGCTTGTTCCAGGAAGAGATCAGATGCGTCTGCCTTCCCTGGCAGTCATCTTTGGAGACCATATCTGCAGGCGAAACAATGCGGCATATCTAGAAATCGCATCCAAGAGTGGTCTGTGAAGAGGTAGCAGGCCTCGCTGCACGACTTGCCAGGTGTGAAAATGGCGACTGTATGGCTCAAATGTTAACGGGAAGATGCAATCGCCATTTTTCACGTTTGCCGAGCGGTGGAGCGAGGCTCAATCAATCTCTCCCTGGAAAGGCTATCTTTCCACTTTGAATGCTATCTTTCCACCCTGCACTCCGCTATAAATACTAGTAAATTGTGTCCTTTCAAAGTTGATATCCAGGAAGGCTTTCCAACAACGCTCTTGAACGACGCTAAATAATTCTCAAAATCGCTCGCGAAAGTCCCGAGTGAACGAGTCAATCAATGGAGTTGACAGTGATTCGCGAGAATCACAGCGTCTCTCTCTCTCTCTCTCTCTCTCGGTGATCGTTAATATACCTATATTAATTTAAACGTCTATCCTGAGCTTGCCGCTCATTGCCATTGATTGCGCTCCATTACTCTCGTCGTTGACCGACGACTCTCTGGCCAGGGTTTCTCTTCATCTCTCATTGCACATGGACTGTGCGAGTTCCATCATCATTCTGTGTTCTTTCGACGGCTCGTTGCCACATTGATTCCGCTCTCGTCCTTTCCAAACCTACTTTTTAAAAAGTAGGGTTTTGCTTGATTTCCTTTTAGTTTTCAGTTTTTGCTCGATTCCATGTGCATGGCACACTTCCGATGCTTCGTTTCGTTTCCGAGTCCATTCTCCGGTCGATCGTGCTACCTGGGAGGGAGCATATTACCTACTACCATGTTACGTTGGTTGTGCAGGGTTTTCATTCTGGTGCGCCTGGCTATCATCTTCATAAGTCATCGTCTTTTCGAGCAATTGGTTCTCCACGAATACTCGCTCGTTCTTGAAAAGAAAGGGAAAGAAAATAATTTCTTCTCCACGAACACTTGCTCGTTCTTTAAGAAAGAAGGGAAAGAAAATAAATTGGCGTGTAAGTGTGTTTGTTGTCTGCTCTCCGCAAATACTCGGTCTTGAGACAGGAAAAGAAAAACTGGAGTGTAGGTCTAGACTGCATCAGTTGCGGTCTTTTGCGTCCATCCGTCGAGTATCATTCTTGCGATCTTTTGAGTCTAGTGAATGAACCAAGTCCGAAAGAGAATGTGAAGCTGGGGTCTCATACAGTATCTCTACTTCCTGGATCAAATAAAAGGACAATCGGGCGAGAAAAGGAGATGGAATAGGCAGCGATTTGCAATGATCAGTCAACACAGTCGTCACCCTACAGGTCAATCGGGAAAACGAGGGAAGAAAACGTAGCAGGTATTCGACCCGTGTTCATGGTGAATGCCAATCCCCTCACGAGAAGTGCAACTACTGGATGCTCATCAAGTGATCGTCAACTTTAACACCTAATTGATTATATATCAATTATTGTTTCCTATTGCGTAGGCGAAAACTGACGACCAGAGATTGATTAGTCGATGATTACGTGTTCTTTTATTCAACATCTGCATCCCCCCGACACGGAAAGCACGCTTGGAAAAATGTGGCATCTTGATCGACTTGTTATTGTCTAGAGGAAGGAGAGAGGGAGGTCCATCTGTCCAGGTAACTGTGACCCTCCGCTTTCTTCTTCTGGCCCCCAGTTTTCCCTGCTGATCCCCGTTCCCCCGTTCTCCCGTTCCCCCTTTCCCCCCTTCCCCCCCTTTCCCCTTTCCCCCCTTCTCCCCTTCCCCTTCCTTCCGAACACTCATCCGGCCGCGTTCCCCTCCCCTGCGGCCTCCGCGCAAGCGCTCTTTTCCCCTTCCTGCGCTACTCTCCCTCGTTCGTGTTACTCGCGTGATCACACCAGATGGCATCTCAGTCTCGCCATTAACGATCGTACCAAATGGCTAAGAACCACCTCGGTAGTCTTGACTGACTGTTATCATTAGCATCGTGAAACGCATCCACAATGGCCGCCGACGATTGGGCTGAAGCCGCGTTTGCCTTCTTCCGCGGAACACAACATACGGTGATTTTGCGTGTTCTGGAAAGAAGGCAGCAAACTTGCGTGTCCAGTGACTGTGTGGCCAGGAGGTATCCAATTCGTGGGCTCCGAACAATCAATCAATGTCTTGTGTTAAACGTACGTACGTACGTACGGTCTTCCTCTTATGATTCATCACATTGCTCAGCCGTCCGTCCTTATTCTCACCAGTCATAGCACGTCCTTGTCAGGTCACTGTCCCGGCCTCTCATCAGTATATCTGTAACTCTCTTATTGCGGTATTATTACTCGTCATATAAGGTTTCCGATCACGTCTAGTGCACGTCATGTAAGATGTTTGATTATGCATAGTTTCCGTCAAATAGCTGTGTACTTGATATTATATCACTTCGTGTCCTTACACGACGCCTGATCTTTCGTCCAGTTATTTCTCTCGTCATTATACATCTCGCCGCGACACAATTACAGTAATAGGCGGTTGCGTTCTGCTGCAGTCGTCGCAGATTTCGAATGTTTCACAGCAAAAGAAATCGCGACCACGAGGGGAAGGCGGGGAAGACCAGCAGGATGGGGATCCGGAGTGTGCGTGCACATAGGTTGACCCAGGGGTAAGGTAGCTGGTCGATTGAGGCAGCGATTAGTACATAGCGCGCTCGCCGTGCTCGCGTTCTGTGTCGAGGCGATCGACGTGTTTTTTCGTTTTTTGCGTTTTTCCCGTGTGCGGGAAGGACTGGAGCTGATGGGAGCGTCGAGGTCGATCAACAGGCAGGCAGGCTCCCATCAAGGTCGATCAACAGGCAGGCAGGTTCCTGGCAGTCGGCCCGAGCAGTAATCGTTGGCGAACTCATTTACTTCGTGTACTACGCGTGTATCGTTGTCTTTAAGGGGATCGTGCTTCTGACTTTTGTCTTTTCCCTGTGACTGTATGTGTATAACCGCCTTTGCCGAGTTGTCAACCAGAAGACTTTTCCCAAAGGCTACCGTCCGCTGGTTTCCCTTAGTCCCGTGCCTCCGTTCTGTTCTGGTTGAGTTTCAGGTAGACGTTTTCAGATGGGCGGGACCATTAGGTGTGTGGGAGCTGATGGGGAACAAAGGCCGAAGTCTCTCCTGCTGGCGGGGTTGCGGAAGATGATGTTGAGAAGGACCGACGATGGCAAAAAGAGGAGGAAGGTGAGATGCTCTCACAGAAGGAAAGAGGGGTTAATGAAGAGTAGGAGGGAGGGGAAGTGGAGCTCGAAGAGGAACGAGGGGTGTGGTGGGAACTCCAAAGGGAGAGAAGAGGTAAGAGAATAATAAGGCAGCGGAAGGAGAGGAGTCAGGATGAGATGGCGCTGTGAGGCGTAGAGGTGGCGGCGAGAGAACAAAGAGGCAGCAAAACGAGCCGCGTTCGCATCAGACGGCGGCGTTCTAGACGTGTGTGCAGAGGATTGCACGCCTGTGCGATGCCTGTTTCTCAATCATAGTGCCGAGTTCAAATGAATTGCACACGCGGTAGAAGAAGAAGAGGAAGAAGAAGAGGAAGAAGAAGAAGAAGAAGGAGAAAGGAAGGCCTGTTTCTGTTCTTGGACACGGAAGGGCAAAGGAATAAACATAGCGTCGCCTCGCTCGCTGGAGACAGATATTCCTGTCAACGCCCTCCTATATCGGAAATACAGCGGCGATGTGCTCACAGGGGCGCAAACGAATGTACGCGAATGATGATGCCGCGCTTGTGCCCCGTGTAGTATGCAGTACACAGCCATCTGTCGGCGTTTGGCATTCTTAGCGCCCCCAGTCACTGGCGGTACTCTTGCTCGCAGGCATGCACACTATAGATTGGGTTG